GTGTCCGGTGATGTCCGGATCACCGGACAGTCCGAACCGGTCCAGACACTGGTCCAGAAGATAGTCCGGGAGTGTCCAGTGTCTGGGTCCTCGGTTGCCATGGTGAATTTGCCCTGAGTTTATCCTCATTATCATCACTTTCCACACACCATAATTTCTGTCAGCACTCAGAAGAATTGAGGTCAAAATACCAGGTGAGCAGAGCAAACAGATGGTGAATCTATGCAAGCTGGGACACAACTGGGGCATACTGCCTGACTGTGAGCACAAGCGAAGAAGATGAGAGGAGGGGAAGGAGAGGAGGAGAGGGGGAAGGAGAGCAGGTGGGGAAGGCGAAGAGAAACACGCATATTACATGAGGAGGAGATCATGGTCATGCTGGTCGAGAGGAGGCGGATAAGCTGCCACGGGGCTGCAACAGAGCTCATGGAATACATGCAATTTAATGATTAGTCCCACACTGTCAAACACAGCCACACACCGTCACACACTGTCACACACTGTCACACACTCAGTCGCTGTCACACTGTCACACTGTCACACGTATGATTGAGTTGGGTAACAAGACTGGGCGGAGTACAAGATTTGATAACGAGTGTGATCACAAGCTGCTGTCATCTTGCTGAGGATGCATTAGGTGTCATAACCATACCACGTTCATCAACAATTTCAAGTGTGAAAAAACGAAAAAACCTACTATGTGTGACATTGTGACTAGCAATCAGGGCCATGGGTTGGGTTGGATTGGGTTGGTTGGCTGCGTTGTTTGTCACATGGTTATATTGTGGAACGGCATTGTAACGGACGATGGCCATCCTTGACGTATTGCCTACATTGCGTACAAGATGTTAGACAGAACTAGGGCACATTCAGACCAAGGCTTTCTTTGATATCTGACCTGCATTGCAGCTAGATTCAGATGAGAAAGAAGAGATTCCAAGAAACACATCAATAAGGAAAAAAACTCTGCAACTAGATCCTCCTCATTCATTAGCAAAACAGAAAGCAAGCAACAAGAGAAAAAGAGGACAGCAGCTAAATGCTGATGGCTCTCCTTAGCAGCCCTCTCCAATCTTTCCACGGATCAACATTATCCACTCTTCCCTCCACTGGGGAATGACATCTCCCCAATTCGCTTTGCTTAACGCCTTCCAAGTGTAATGTAAATCTAGATGATGCCAGGTTTGATTTGCTGAAAAAGGGACCTGCATGAACATCACCATAGCTGAAATGCACACACTCACCAACGCGCTCCGCAGGGCTGCGCACCAGGACTTATCAAGGGCCAAAACAACAACAATAACACCAACGAGGAGCAGCAGAAGCAGCAGCAGCAGCTGAAGAAGAAGAAGAAGAAGAAGAAGAAGAAGAAGAAGAAGAAGAAGAAGAAGATCCCTTAAGTAATGGCCCCTGGTTGGTCTTGGAAGGGGCTTCTGAAGAAGAACTAGACATGCGATCAGGGATGCATTTTTCGCTAATGTCACTAAGGATCTGAAGTAGCAGCACACTTTGCGTTCACCAGCTGAGATAGATGGCTTGGTCCCCCTGGTTGGTCTTGGTAGGGGCTTCTGCATGCCTTCGTCCCTCCAATTCATCGCTAGGGATTAGGCTCAACCCTGAGGGGATGGGCTCAACCCTGAGGGGATAGGCTAAACCCCTGAGGGGATAGGCTAAACCTCGAGGGGATGGTAGGCCGGGATATCTTA